TAACCAATGGTTGGAAATTGGGTGACATGACTCAGAACCGATCACAATGGCGTATGGGGTATGGCAACTTGGACCAATGCATATATGTGCCTGGTCCTACGTTGTAGCTGACTGACTGATGTCAAGAGCTAAGTAATGACATATTTCCCAGTGTGTATATTTATGGATGGGTGGGGGTAATTAAAACAAACAAATGTCATAATATATCATATCTCATCATTCGAATTTGCTAAAAAGAAATCAATTCAAAGCAGCAAATACATGTATGGAGATATGGATGAAAGTACTTCCCCTTAAGGTATGCTTTGGACCTGAAACAAATAAAAATTCTACTAGTGTATTATTTATGATGAAGAGGTTGGAAATTCAAAACACTTTATACATTTGTAAATTATACTATTTGAGAAAAACTATACAGGATGCTCGGTTATCACTAGTCTAATTAAATTCGTTGAACATTAGAATATTTGTGGGGATGCATACAACACATATTAATTATTAACTGCTTTCACAACCAGTAATAGTTGTTTGAAACAAATTGAACACATTCTATATGACACCAAAAAAAATATTTGTAATGTTCAAAAATTAATTGTAATTCTGTAACACGTTCAAAACCTTAAACTATCAACTTCCTGTTTCGATTATCGAATTGTTTTAATCTCATGCTCGTGTTATTTTTGATTGTTGGTAATTGCTTTCGTTACTAAATGTAAGTGTATTCTATATGCATACGGAGTCGTTGGTTCACTTTTTCCATTGTTTTTCTCTGTTTTAGATGATTTCACTTACTGCTTCTAACATTCCCTCAGCAAACAAAGTACCTTTAAACTAGACGTAAACCTACCAAAAACTGAACGTTATATTCGTAACCTATTCGGCAAAATGTGTATGCTTGTTCAATGCATCCTAAACACAATGTAACAAAATATAATGTGATACTGTTCAGATGTATTAAATGACTTTTTTAAAGACACCATTCATAAAATCAATGTTTAAAATGTTCAGAGTTGCAAAGTACCACGGTAAGGACAATAAATCAGAAAGTTCACAATTTTACACAAACACTGATTTATTTTGAAGTGCGATAAAATATGAAGACAAAATGTAACATAAAGTCCAGTACACATTATCGATTCGTTCAATTATTGATGAATTTTTCTGAGGACTCTTGAATTTCTTATCTAGAAATGTTTTTATAGCTTTAAGTAAGAGATAACTCATTTATCATGTACAGATTTACATGTACAATTATATATAAACCACAATTCAATTGTATGAGGTTTGGTGATATTGCTCAGCTGCTAAAATTTGAGTAGATATGGTGGAATTCGAATCTACCACCTGCTGGTTTAAAGCTGAATGCATAAATTGAAGGGCTTAGAGCCTAATAACAAGAGCCGGATGATACTTTCCCTTCAAATCATAGTAATTTGTTGACATTATCATATTAGTTATTGAAACTGAGTCACATTTTAGGCGTGAATGGAAATGCTCTTTTCATTTTGTCGAGTGTTGACATGTCTGCAAACTAATCGATAAAAGTTGCTATTGATTCCATTTCTTAATCAGTATAGCGTCAGGAAGCTGAATATATCAGCTAAAGTTATCTTCAATAATATATCAAAGAAATTTGATGAAAGCCTAAGATTGAGTAATATAGATATATATAACATTTGTAATGGTCGATTAATACACATGATATTAAATGCCTAACTAATTCTTGAAGAGAAAAAACACAATAAACAGTAAAAGTAAACAACTTAATTTACAAAAAAGTACTTTATACACAAATTCAGTGAAAACAACTTCATTTATAACACACCTAATATAAAAGTACTAGGAATTTCAGCAGTTTAAGAATTTGTTGAAATAAGACCAACAGACACACATGAAAGTAGAACTCTGTAAGAAAAAAAGTGATACGCCCACATCCCAACACTTCCAGTTGAGAGTCCCGAGAGCAATATCTATTTTCAAGAGGGAAAAGTAACACATTGGGTAAATCACAAATTCACCGAATGGTAAGTATCCGTGACTAGTCAAAAAATGACTTGAATTTCTAAGGAATGAGAAATGGATTACTAATGGCTTATTTTTCCGATATATATATAATGTCGGTTTGAAGTGCCACATAGCACACGAAGTCAATCAAAGAAAACGTTTAATAAAGATGAGAAATTGGAATGAGAAAAACAATGAAATGGGATTGATACTAAACAATAATATTAACCACAAGAAAAAAGACTATTCCTTGTTATTTGAGACTTTCAACCACCAATTTTTATCATCTTGAGGAATTCAGTAACAAAGTTTAGATAACTACGTGTAAAACCACGTCAACAAGTCATTGATTTTGTGGATATGATATAATGGATTGATTCAATCCCCTTTCACGTCATCACAGCCTTACGTTTACTTTAATCAATATTATGTAATAAGCGTAAATAGTAATGTGGGAAAAAAATAAAACAATAACACAGTTCTTACTGCAGAAATCCAATTTACAGTTGTGTTACATAAATAAAGTTCGAAATGTTAAACTAAACAAAACACAAAAACGAAGGTCATGTAAACATGGATAGGCCAGAAAACAAACTTCGAATTGATAGTCAAGTATTAAAATTAAATCCTGATCAATAATAATTTCTGTTTGATCACTAATATATTATACTGATCTCATTTAGTGGAGTAAAAGGAGTTGAAGAATTTCAGTAACAATTTAACTTAACTAATTGATTTTGAAAATTGGACATTTTTCATGATGAAATAATGAAGATGTAACCGAGATGGAAAGTTAAATGAATATTAAAAACAGTGGGATAAGTTCACTGAAATATCAGAATATGGATTTGTGGAGATTGTAGTAATTTTAATAGTTGAACTCATGAGTCAATCTAAGCTAGACCATCATGGAAAACCTGTAAACATTAAACGGTCGTTTCGTCCTGCATGTAGGATGCAAAATCAGGAACCTACGGTCTCGCGCGCGAACGCTTAACTTCTAAACCACTGGGTTGGCGACATCCAACGGTATTGATGTCGAACTTCAATCGATCCATGATCTTGCGCAACCATTAACACCGTTGGATGCCGCCGGCTCAGTGATTCAGAGGTTAAGCGTTCGCGCGAAACAGCCGTTAAGTGTTTCCAGGTTGTCACAGAAATATATCATCTAAATATTACATTCATTAGTTCAAATAAAATTAAAGTTAGATTAGCATTGATGTTTTACAGATTATACGGCAAAGGATTTTACCTACTTGTTCATTTATAGCTAATAAAAATTCCAATACATTAGGACAGTAAGAAAATGGGCCTCAAGAATAAGATGATGATATCGGGAATAAAAGCAGAAAGGAGAATGCTCGCGTTAAGTTAAAATAAGATGAGCAAGAACAGTAATTATTAAAGAAAATACGACCAGGAAAGATTTTTTCCAGTTTGAAAGGTTCATCTCAATACTCAATCAGTCCGCTACAACGTAGGACCAGGCGTATATATGCATCGGTTCAAGTTGCCATACCCCATTAGCACAACAAGATGAACACCGAATTCATAGAAGTAGTTAATTTAGTGTTGGTAAGAAAGATTGTATATAAAGATATAGTACAGGAAGAAAGAAAGATATTAAGCAATTTTAATCTCATAGTTTAAGGGAAGACAGGGAGTGTATATACCTACGCAATTGTGATCGGTTCTGAGTCATGTCACCCAATTTCCAACCATTGGTTACGATAATCACGCAGACCCCAACCAAGTAGTCTGCATCTACCAACATGGCTCAGACTAGAAGTTAGTGACTTCAAGCACTGATGCCATGATTTGGTTTGGCCGCCCCTAACTCTCTTTCAACCATCCCCTATACTAGTCAGCATTGCGCTACTACTACTACTACTATTATTATTATTATTATGGATAATATGACAAAAAATGTATCACAACATATACTGACTTCTACACTGAATTGTAATCTGATATTTTATGAAATGTAAATTATTCCGAACAGTTCGATGATTGTGATCGGAAGATTATCTATGATAAAATGTATGATAATAGAATTAGTATCTACTGATGATCTCTAGTATTTCTGTAACTGAAGTGTCTCTCTCATGAAAACTACGTCGTAGCATGTCAGAATTCACAAACTTATAGACTTGAATTTGATTCATGATATCTTTTAATAACTATGTGGTAAAACTGCTATTCCAGGTTTGATTTTAAAAAATCAACCGGTCATTTTTGATTAACACAGAGCTCACCATAGATGTGCGTTATCCCAGGTTAACATAGCACATTAGACTGACGAGATGAAACTAAAAAGATGAAAAGCAAAGTAGTCGGAATAATTTTAACTGCAATAACAAAGAAAAAGACTAATAATTGATAATATAGTTTTAAAAGGTAGAATGATAAGATATAAACAAAACAGTACTGGAACTAAAGATCTAGGATAAGATAAAGAGTGAATGCAACTGCGATCCATAATAAGCCAAGCCAGTCAATATCTTGAACCACACAGACCGCAACCCGATAGTCTGGACCTATCAACACAACCCAGACCGATGGTCAATAACTTTATGGACATTTTAGCGATGGTAAAAATAAATCGTTATTTCAAAATATAAATTTTCATTTTACCACACAACTAAATAAGTATATTAGACAGGCGAAATAGATTTTGATGCAGACATAGACAAAAAAAACATGATGATGGTTTATATAAGAACTCTCGTCTAAATTAGAACGAATAGTTTCACAGTATTTGAGCGCCGAGTTGAAGTAAGACATTAAAGTTAGATTAGCATTGATGTTTTACAGATTATACGGCAAAGGATTTTACCTACTTGTTCATTTATAGCTAATAAAAATTCCAATACATTAGGACAGTAAGAAAATGGGCCTCAAGATTTAATTAAAAATTCATTCGCTGAGATTTTATAAATATATTATTCCTATTTAATGATGATGGTTGTTTAAACAAAAAAATTTCATCTTACCCTTTAAAATAACGATCAGCATGTGCTTGATGTGAGACTGTCGCCATACCATGGTCAGAAGTTAGCATTAAATTTAAATTTGGTATAGATTCTATGATGTTCAATGCATAGTCTAAAACGTGATCCAAATACACTAAATGTTTATGAACTAATTCATTAGATAATGGACCATATCTATGTCCGATACGATCTAATTCATCGTAGTATACCACTGAAACAGGGGAAAAGATAAAAAGGAGTAGAAAAAAACAACATAGGTATTATTCATTATGGAATAAGTTCATATTTTTTTATCAAAGTTGGATGGTGGGTAGCTACGGAATTCAGTACTTGATCTTCGCCCTATCTAAGGTCTATTCAGCTAAATGTACCTGCATCTCAGTGTTAAAATTTACACTTAGACCTGAACCCAGTTTTGTTCGCTCCAAAAACCAATGAGCTATTTCTTGAGCTACTGAGTTCAGATAACCACTGCTTCGCGTCGATATTTAGAGCAAAAGGACTGTGTTTAAATTTTAATGAGAGCATCAACAATAGCATATAGGTACATCCGGCTAGTTTAGTCCCGAACATGACAAAATGCGTGTCTCGAAGTCCACACGAAACTATTATCCAAATTTAGTAAAACACATGTGACTAAGTGACAATATTGAGGCCATTCGCTCAGGGTGCATATATGTTAAACAGTCACTGATCTTCTGCAGACTTTAACAACTGGAAAGTATAATCCCTTAAAAATGATAAATCCATATATTATATCATAAGATGATAAATCCTTTGTGAGATAACTAAAAATAAGGTGATTCAAACAAAAGTCAAAACACAAAATGCTGTGTTAAGTAAAATGATCTCCCAAAATCGAGTAAATGATTTTACAAATTGAAAAGAAAGTTATACACCTATTTGGTACCAAAACCAGTGATTTGTGAAGGCTAAACCCTTGTCTGGAGTCGTGAAGTTTCTAGATCCAATTCCTGGTAGGTTGTGAATGCGCATCATTGAGAAGTCCTATACTATAATGAAACAACTATTGCTAATCTTCAGATTTTCAATGATTGTCTAAGTAACCTTAGTCTCTTTACAACTTCCTGTACTAAAAAAATAGTGATTTATTTTATCCGATAATTAGAGTCCATTGTTGTGATAGGTGTATATCAAAACGATGAAATGTGGAAAGTTTATAGACTAAGTGTGAGTATTTTGAGCTGAACACGCAAAACAATTTATAAGATTACAATGATAAGTTTAATCGACTAAAGTGATTTGTGCAAACATTTTACCCACGATAAAATGCTACTTATCTGCCCACCAACAACTATCCAACATACTCTTACAGAAGTAAAACTTTCCTACACATGTGTCATGACTGTTAACTTAGACTGTTTTATCAGTATAGATGAAGATATTTCTTTTAAATCTATCTGTTGCATAGTTTGTTCATAGGCGGGGTGAAAATACAATGATTTAAAAAGAAATTAAATCTAGCCCATCCCCTTCCGAAGACACGAAAAATTGAAAATTTCAAACTTGAATAAAACTAGTAATCAATGTAAACAAAGAGATGATCAGTGGACAAATTCATTAGACTAGTTCATAAATCTTTGAAAATTGAGCCGATTTCTGGTTATTGAGGGTCAACAATTCGACTAAGAAAACTAGTACCTATTGAGCACACACTAGTACGAAGTGGATTAGGAGTATTTTTAAATTCTATTGTTGGATATCGACAAGCTATTTCTTAAAGAATAAAACAGGAAAACATCTCTTAGAATGGTTAGTCAAAACAAGAGATGAGAATTATTATAGATATTTCACTCAGTTGTATGACACAGGCATCCTATATGGAACTATAGGAATAATTAGAAAAGAAAAAAATTGGTTAAATAATTTACATTGATCCAAAATTTTATCTACTCGAACAGGAAGTGAAAATGATTCTGATCAAATAGATTTTTTTATTTTATAGTTAAATTAACTTTAACGAAGTCTGGATAGTTAATAGCTATCCATGAATTTATGATTTATCAAGTAATTAGTTAGGATTGATGGCTTGGATGGTAACACTAGCCGTTATGGAGAAATTGGTAGTTCGAAATAGAATTGATATACTCGTACTTAGTGAATTACATTACTTATCATTTATATTACACGAGCCTATCGAATTTGTAAAAATAGGCTTTTATGTCACATCATTTCTTATGCGAAGTAACTGTGAATTTAACTTTCAACCTGTGAAGTGTAAGTTTGAAACTCGTTATATCTATGACAGTTAAGATTATAACAAAGTCTTTACATAATGAGGCTTACAAGCCAGTAAGCATATATATATATATATATATATATATATATATATATATATATATATATATATGATGACTTAATTAAATTAGAGACATTGAAAATAATGAAAATATCACGGCACCGATCAAATCCCTTTAGTCGATGTTGATAAGCAGAGGGAAAACTTTAGTTACAAACGTAATAAACATCTCGATGAACATGTTGGATTCACAAGAAATGTAGATATAGAGCAAATTACAGTGCCATATTTTGTAAATACACATCGTTAAAATGTAAAAAAATTTCAGCTAGCTAAAAGATAACAGTAAGCATATATTTTGCTCAAAACGCCCAACGCGTTATCCATTGAGCTACGGAGCTCATAAATTCACTAACCTATTCAATAGATATGATGTTCATATGGGTACTAGGAAAGGTCTGAGTTATCAGGTTGCTGATACTAGGGACCAAACTTTAATCAAGTTTCAGTCCCTAATATCAATAACGTGACAGAGCAGCCCATTCCTAATGAAGATATAAATTATTTATGTTTTAAATAAGGTCGGATGGCTTTTTTTCTCTCTGTATTTCCTAAATAGCGTGCAAATTTAGTTTATTGCACGAAAATAACGAGAATCTGATTGATAGAACATCTCATACAGTATTACATATGTCGTAGATAGTGAATCCTCAAAATATTACATTTAGGAAGAAATCAATCTTCAAATTTGCATATTGATTTAAAGTGAACTTGGTTCATTGACTTTCACTGTGCTTTCATTTGTAATGGCTTATTCAATGTGAAGTTAGTTCCTTTTATTTTCAATCCATTGTTATTGTATTAATTAATTAATCGGCCGTGATTTTGTGTTCAAATGTTGATTATTTTGTTTGATGAAATCATTGAATAATCGATTTATAATTGAATTAACTCGAAATGTAAATTAACCGTTTTTTCTGAGGTCTTCACCGATAAATCGTTCTTACAATATTTCTCTCTTATCCATCGTCAAGAGGATAAGCGCTCAAGTATTGTGGAGTAGTCATCCGTCATTCGGTTTGTCAAGTTAGCATAGATCTTATTCGTAATGAAAGACCGAACCTAACTGAAACTGAATTCATAAGGTGACACGTCTACTAACTTTCACAGCACAACAAAGAATATAAACCTTTATCAAAACCGTCAGTATTAGATACACGTACAAACAATATGTGAACAGGACAAGTAAACATTTGTGAACGAAATCTGAACTAGTATTAGTCAAAACAAAATGATCGTTGTTAGAAAACGTAGTTAGAGAAAATTATATGTTAAGCACACACACACACACGGATTTACTTACCATGCAAAAATAGTTCTTGACTAATTAGGAACTTTAATGTATAATAATAGTAACGATCATCGTACAAAAAAGTGAGAACTACATAGATGAATAATTAACACGGAGACAAGAGGATATAAATTAATAACAAAACTGAAAAACAGTATTCCGATGGCATTGTCTACTTTATTCTCCAAACAGTTCGAAAACGTCTGATCATGAAAAATGAGCCTCGTTTAATGTCCCAATCAACTTTATTGACAACCATTTCTTAGATGACAAACGAGGAATAAAAAAAATTGAGAAATTCGAAGCATTTGAAAACCAACAAACATGGTAGCAATACACTTCGCAAGTCACTATCTGTATCCTTCTAGATCAAATAAAACACCAGGGAATTCCAATCAGCAAATAACGTATCACTTTTTGAGTACCACGAAGAAAACTTGATTGTCCACTTGTCATAGTGAGGAAAGTAACAATAAACAGCTGTAAAGTAAGATGAACAACTAAAACTCTCAGGTCTCTGAGCGTGATCGTATACACAATTTCTGAAACACATAGCCACAGATGCTTTGACTGAAATTATCTACTAAGTTCAATGTTTAATCACTTAACCCGTAGAAATCTAAAGGACTTTTAATTCAGTACTTTATGTGTATAGAGCTCTGGTACGGACAAGGGTGGTGAGAGTCAGCTTTCCCTCTTGAAATACTCTCACATGGCCATGAGTATACAGCTACTACCATTAAAGTCCTACTCACTGCCTTCATGCGACGCGGGTGTTGTTTACAAAATTTGGAAGACCAAAAGCGAATGTCCCGCGCTTTAACCAGGTTGGTGGACACGGATGGTCCACCTAGGGAAGTTGGAAAACACTGATTCCAAATCATTGGTGCACATTGGCTCCAGGATCATGAGGAAACAAATGGCGTATGAACCTATTGTTGCTCACCGGCTACTATGGTATTGTATCTCCTAACGTTGCTCAGTCGCCTTGTGGATTAGATCTTTAGGTTAAAGGCTAGGGGAGTGGCCCACCGAAGAAGATCACCTTGTTGAGTCTGGGCGACCAGGAAGTATCCTAGTCCTCACACAAATTGAGTAAATGTAGAGCATATATATTCAGTGCCTCCTATGTACCAATATTTACATGTTTAAATAATAATACTTTATGTATATTGGAGCGATAATCTATTGGTTATAACGCTAGGCGTTAGGCTCTGAAACTGGGAGTTCAAAGCCCCATTTACCCAATTTAATTTTATCACAAGGGTAGCATCGTTAGTCCTCATGGAAATAAAATGTGACTAAAATCCAAGAACGTGAACCCGTATGTAATAAGTGAGTCACAATTCTTTCACTTCATGCGAAGCATCTGTATTACCAACTCCATGATCCCATCACCCAGAAACAACTTCTTGAAGTTGAACTTCTTGAAGTCGATGATTGGATACTTTTAACCTATTTATATTTTTTAAATTTAGTGAGTATAGAGCTAACAACTTTAACGAGATACGAAACTAATACCAACAGAAGCCGATACAGAGTGATACTTGATAGTAGTGAAATATGCAAGGACCTATTATTGACTAAAACTTCCCAATACATTAAAATCCACCAACAGTCATCGATTTTATGAACTGCTGAAATGATTTAGTTGGGTTATCTTTAGTCTTTTTCAACATTGAGTTATCGAAGCCAAAAATAGTATGACAAAGAAAGTGATTAAAATATGAAGTAGTCTAAACACTAATTTGATCTATTAACTCAAATATCATTGATCGGAAAAACAATAAAAGTAGTAGTTGCCCCCAAATGCCCTGGTACGGCCGAGAGTGGGGATAGTCTACTCTCCCTCTCGAAATGCTCTCACATGGCCAGCGAATATATAGCCTCTGACATGGAAGTCCTACTCACTGCCTTCTCGTGGCGGGGGTGTTTTTCACAAAAGTGAGAGGACGAAAAGCGAATGTCCGGCGCTTTAACCCAGTTCGTGGACATGGAGGGTCCACCTAGGGGAGTTGGAAAACCCTGATTCCAAACCAATGGTGCACATGGGCTCCAGTATCCTGATGGAACGAATGGCGGAAGAACCTGTCATTGGTCAACGGCAACCATGGGACTGCATCTCCTCACGATGCTCCACTGCCTTGTGGATCAGACCTTTAGGTCAAAGGCTCGGGGTGTGGCCCCCTAAGAAAACCACCTGCTTCGGTTTGGGCACTCGGGCAGTATCACAGCACACACACAAATAAATGAAATTATGAACTCTATTGACGATAATATCCCTGGTCATACTAAAACCAAGACAATTAACATTATTATTATTATTATTACCTTTATTATTATTATTATTATTATTATTATTATTATTATTATTATTATTTACCATATCGCTAACTCACCCCCTTTTATCCCCAATTTGTGTAACCTTACTTTTCAACTTATGCAGCAGCTCGCCCATGGTGGAAAATCTGTCCTATCTAAACGATCTCCAGTCACTGTCTGGTTGAAAGTGAATGCTTCCACCGATAATGAATACTGAAGCAGTCTTTCTGAAACCACGTACGCCGTTCAAGCTGGCTTCCTTCAACGTTCGCACACTAATGCATATCAGACAACAGATAGGGCTGGCTATGTCTTTGGAAGGTCTTAATGTTGATGTTTGTTGTCTATCCGAGACCCGTATTCAAGACTCTAGTGAAGTACTACAAATCCGCTCTCCATCTGTCGCCTCGAAGAGCTTGTTTCACGTGCGCTTATCCGGGGACTCTGTGGCATCTTCGTCTGGTCTTGTAGGCGTTGGTGTTGCACTAAGCGCTAGGGCTGAGGCAGCACTAATCGATTGGATCCCCATTAACAGTCGGTTATGTGCTGTTAGATTAGAAAGTTCCATCAAAGTGAGAAGAAATCGGCGCGAGAAACGGTGTCTTTTCGTCATCTCCGCCTATGCCCCGACAGATTGCAGCCCGGATGCAATCAAGGATGAGTTTTACCATCAGTTAACAGTTCTTCTCCAGAAAGCGCGTTCGACAGATATTGTAGTACTAGCCGGAGACTTGAATGCACAGGTCGGGCGTCTAGGCACAGAAGAGAGTCGTCTAGGTGGCCGATGGGGACTTGTTGGTCGCCGGACAGATAACGGGGACCGTTTGCTGCAACTGTGCACAGACCACAACCTGTTTTTGGCCAGCACTAACTTCCGGCACAGACATCGCCGGTGTGTGTTCCATTCGAGCAGTGGGGTTAGACAGGGTTGCCCGATCTCACCATTCCTCTTCAACTTTGCCATCGATGACATCCTGGAAACAGCTCTGGTGGATGTAAGTAATGGCGGTGTGGATATGTTGCCTGGAGAACGACTTCTCGACCTTGAGTATGCGGATGATATTGTCTTACTGTGCGATAATGCCCAAGGCATGCAATCAGCACTTAATCAGTTGGCAATCAGTGTCCGCAGGTACGGCATGTGCTTTGCACCCTCCAAGTGCAAAGTACTCCTACAAGACTGGCAGGATTCTCATCCTGTACTCACCCTGGATGGTGAGCAGATTGAAGTAGTTGAGAAGTTCGTGTATCTAGGTAGCTATATAAGTGCTGGTGGTGGCGTGAGTGATGAGATTGATGCACGTATAATGAAAGCCAGAGCGGCTTATGCCAATCTGGGCCATCTTTGGCGCCTTCGTGATGTTAGTCTGGCTGTAAAAGGTCGGATCTACAACGCGTCGGTGAGAGCAGTTTTGCTCTATGCTTGTGAAACCTGGACTCTCCGAGTTGAGGATGTTAGACGTCTCTCTGTGTTCGATCATCGTTGTCTCCGAAGGATTGCTGACATCCAGTGGCAACACCATGTTAGTAATGCAGAGGTTCGGCATCGTGTGTTCGGGCGCAGAGACGATAATTCAATTGGTGTCAGCATCTTGAAACACCGACTTCGGTGGCCTGGACATGTTTTACGAATGTCGTCCCAGAGACTTCCACTTCGTGCATTATTTGCCGACCCTGGGACTGGTTGGAGAAAGCGGAGAGGAGGTCAGTGTATGACATGGTGTCGTGGCATGAAAGAGAGCTGCAAAGGGCTAGCTTTTGTTGGTCCTTCACGACTCCCTGGTTGGGGTCCGAGAGATGGTGCAACACAGTGGCTAGAGACGTTATCAGATATGGCTCAGAATAGAAGCCAGTGGCGATCCTGCTGCAACCTTCTTTTACTTTCTACATAAAGATTGGTTCTAACTTTCCTAACTGAAAGAGTCTTCTGGTTGTACATTTTAGTCCGCGTTATCTTATCATCCTTTCTCTTCCTACTTTCATTATTTTGTGTGGCGCATATGTACCTGGTGCCCTTTTGTACCAATATGTATGTGTTTAAATAAATAAATAAATAATAATTTATTTTAGTGCTTTCTGTTAGGAACTATCTTTTAAGTGAAATGAATACAAGATACACGTATTTGAAGTACGGATATCCAGGAGATAACAGGGAAAAAGCTCTACCAAAACAAGTTATTTCGTAACTTTTGACAAGATATATATTTTATGTCTTGCACGATGAATCAAAATTATCATTCAATGTTAAACAAAATGAGATGTGACACAGCTCTGTGGATTAACTCAAATTACTACATTTTACAATAACACATTTACTATGAGTGGAAATTAATAAGGTGAAAATGTGAAAAAACAGTTGAAATCAGTAAGGATGAGGATGAATGGTCACAAAATCGGATGAATACAAAATAATGAATAAACGTTAACAAAAACGTTATATATATATATATGTATATATATATAATGAATACCTGCCAAATTCGCACTGCCGTTTTTTAGCCCATCCACAGCTTTTTGTATTGTAGCATTCAAATGCGTAGGATTCATAACTTCTTGACTATACGGTTCACAATACCAACTATTTTCAGTGCCAGCTTCAGTAGAACATATAGGCAAATGATAAAGATGAACACCTTTATTCTGTGAAGGGAAAAAAGGAATAAAAAATCAAAATGAGTATAATTTAGTCACCATTTCTGCTAAAGTACAATATACTCCTATTTTCGGCTTTCATAAGTTCACTTTGAAAAACAGTTAATGGAGGCTACATCAAAGTATGATACATTAGTCATTGACTGTAAGTAAAAATCATGCACAAAAAGACAGACTACCTCGTTTCAGACATTAAGTGACATAGGGTTAGTCAACAGCAGTACGAGTAGTACACCGAAAATGTATCCATTCTCTATTTTCTTCTAGAGATTTGGTTTCAATGTTGATTCATGGATACTTCGTTCTTTGATCCCATTTGTTCTTTTTTAAGACTCTTAGTAAATTGATCAGGGAGACCTGTTTATTTGATTAGCTTGTCGTAGACAATTTTACTTCAAAAGTGAGGATTTGCAAACTTGGATTGAGTGAAAAAACGATATTTTAAACAGTATAAATACAGTATGATCACGAACAACAAGTCACCTTTAAGTTATACCAGCAATGAAGTATAAGACTTGTGTTTCCTACTGTTTAATATTCCTTGAACATAGATAATTTTACCATACTCCTCTCAAATCAGAATAAATTTCGAGAGAAAATAAAGTATTCTCCAGCAGTCTGAACAATAGACGTACAATAATAAAAACACTGAAGCCCACCTGTTTTGACAAGTTGAAAATGGACTAACCAGAGTATTCTGATTTGAGCCTGACTAGAAAGGTGAAAGTCAGGACCCTATCTTAGTGACAAAATATTGAAAAAATGAAATCAGATAAAGAGTGTAAAAAGAACGAAGAACTCACTTGTTTAACTCCTGTTTCCCAAAGACCTTCAACTTGTGAACGAATAGGCTTACCATTAATAGTTGTATGTTCACTAAATGTTGTTGGCAGAATAACTCCATGATCAGCTGGATGACGACCTGTTAACCAAAATCAGAGCATCATTTAATTTATGAGCGTTAAGAAACTAACTAGATTGTCTGTATATGTGATAAATAATAACAATACTTCTGATCGTTATGTCCGTGTTATTATTAAAAAACAACTATCCTAACTTTTCTGAATTAAAAGTGTATAGCTTCCTACTAGATAGTTAACGAAATTGTTCGAGACGAAGCCAGTCATTTGAATATGATAATCATTTCACGAGGGACTATTGGTGTTAGGAACGTTTTGTTTTCAAAAAATATGTCGGGAAAAGGCAGTTGGAGAAATTCAATTTGTTAGCCAGTTATAGGTTGGATTAAAGCATGTTCCATGTAGGATTACGTTGGGACACGCTGGTTGGCTGTTCCTTAATCAGAGGTAGAAGATGCTTGAAGAAGACTCTGGAATCTTCTTATGTAAAAATTATAAAATATACTAACGGTTTTTCTTTTTTTTAATTCCTACTTCCATTCAGCCTTGTTATTTGGAATATAACTGCGTTCCTGTTCAACCATGTTCTGATTTGGGAACTTGTCGAGTGGAATAGTGTTCAGGAATACTAAGAAATGAAAGAATTCATAACACAGCTGTATAGCCTAAAATATAGCTTGGATTATTTCCTCACTAATGTGAAGCTACTGATCCCCCCTCGACCACCTATTGATTTTTTACTTTCTTATGAAACATACCAATTTAGCAACTGTGAGCGATTTTCGGGGTATTTCAAATAGACATTAAGTAAGATGACAGAAATACACTTTAAGTCAAACGCTGCTCAGTAAAACAATGATAGAGATGTGCGGGGTGGTTCCTGAACTGTATGGATTATGCGATGCTGCTATATAATAATAGTGGCATGCCAGGGTATGTTTGCAGAAAAAAGAGTGAAGTTGTCTTTTAAAAAACAGACTTTGTGGTTTAGATACGTTTACCGTAACATCTCAAGACAGCTTTCGTATAAAACCACCCTTTGCTGACATTAGAATTAGTTGGGTAAACAGGAGAGGTGGTTGGTTTATTATATGGTTGTGAAGTGGAAGAAAATTGTGATCAGTTGGCATCAATTGTCATATTAATCGTTTAAAAATCCCAATCATATTAAAAAACTAATATTTGAACGAAGAATATTCTTTTCGATAAATTCTCTTCAGGTTCTACAATTATATATCCAAATTAATAATCCGAAAAATTGGCCAAGTTAAAGGCAAAGTACATCGTTAAATGCATGTAAATTTAGGAATGTCAAATCAAAATAGAATAAAGTTGTTAATGAGATGGTGGAGAAGATTTGTAGCTCAGGTGGGTGATTTTTATGTTGGTTTGTTCTCTCGACCAAACCATCCAGCTCAGAGAACAAACCAACATAAAAAAAAGTTGTTAATGTTGATATGACTCATATAGAATGTTAACTTGAATCTGTATATATGTAAAGTGAAAATTTAAGATCTGTGATCAGAATATAAATATGGGTCAGATAGGGTGAGAGAGCTTGATAGTGCAATTACAATTCGATCAAGTGGAAGACTAAATTGTGTGAAAAATTAGTGAGACGTAATAAGGAGGGATCAATGCGATGTGAATGAATCATGTTATAGCAACCATCCTACAATCAATTTCGATTATAGCCAATTTTGGTTAAGCCCTTTTTATAACTTACTTAACAGACATTGTCATTTGGATAGTAACAATTTGCATATTCTTTGCACTGCTATACCACTAGAGCACATGACACTCTAGCCGAAATGTTGACTGCTTAAATATCATTCGATGACTCATACTCCTCCCCATATATGTACGCACACAAATATTATTATCAGCCTTTGTTTTGCTTTGCTGTGCCCTTATTAAATTTGACTATAAATTGCCTATGTAATTGCTTGCTACTCTCTCGCTCGCTCGCTTGCTCCTCGTTCGTTTCCTTCGCTTGTTTGCCTGTTCACTCGCTCGTTCATATTCGCTCAGGTGTTGTTAGCTTTCGAACCTGAGTCATTCGACAATAAACTGTAGTTGCTGCTATCCTTTGTCTTCTGATTTTACGCACCGTTAAGTTTAGAATTATAACGGTTATCGAAGTAAACGGTTAACGAATCGCGGCACTACAGAATTGGAGGCCTCGCCGAACAAGCACGACGCAATAGAATTGGATATCTCGCCGAACAAGCACGACGCAATAGAATTGGATATCTCGCCGAACGAGCACGACGCAATATATTTGGTTACCTCGCCGTACGAACACGACACTACGGAATTGGATGCCTCAACGAGCGAACGCAAAACAATTTTCGACGAGATAATTTCATTTTGAAAATTCAACGTACTCTGTTTCTATTCGAATTATTATCTGGATTATAATCATAATTGTGGATTTATTATATCACAATTTTAATCGCACGTTCATCATCCCATAAGCATTATTGAACTTAACGATAATATTCATAATAAATAACGATTATTCACGAACAATTGATATATTGGTGCAATTTAGTAAGTCTGTTCCATTTTATAAATTGTACCTTTTGTTATTATCATTTTTTTTCATCGATTCATTTCTCTTAGTGACAATAACGTTATATTCGCATACTATTTAATTTATTATTATTATTATTATTAGTAATGTCTTTAAATAACGAAAAAATCGATCTTTCACAGTCACCATCCGTGGGAGTTATTAATGTTACTATTCCCTCTTTTAATGTTACTGATCCTCAACTCTGGTTTATTAGACTTGAAAATTACTTCGTAGCCAATCGTATTATTTTACAGCGACATAAGTTCGGCTATGCAAGCTCACTACTTCCAGATGAAGTAGCAGACAAGGTACGAGAGGTCCTAACTAAGCCGGATGCGGTAAATCCGTACGATGTATTGAAACAGGCCGTAATAAAAGCTCTCTCGTTAAACGACCGGCAGGCTGTCGAGCAGTTGCTCAGTGAAGTTCAAATCGGAGATAGAACGCCTTCGCAGTTAAAAACGTATATGAGCAACGTAATTGGAGACAGAAATGTGGATAAAAATATATTTTACCAGTTATGGTTGCGACGACTCCCACCGAACGTACAGCAGATCCTCGCTGTTGGAGATAGCGATGTAGACATAGACAACATCGCTAAAATAGCCGATAAGATTTACGAGAGAATGAGAAATGCGACTTCACAAACACTCAACTTCACAGTTGACGAAAGAATCGAGGCCTTGCAAAAGGAAATTAATGCGCTATGCCATAAACTAACGAGTCTAAATCACAACGACAGGAAAAGAAGTTGGTCGCGCAGCAGATCAAGAGATAGAAACCGATCATTTTCTAAGGGACTACCAGATCCTGCTATATGCTGGTACCATCAAACATTTGGGTACAGAGCTCGAAAATGCAGGTCTCCATGCAAATTTAAACGATCCCAACGATTCTCAGTAACGACTACGAAAATCAACGCAGCTCCCACGAGCAATCGTTTATTCTATGTTCAGGACAGAGTAACGGGCGCGCAGTTTTTAGTAGACACGGGAGCAGAGATAAGCGTCGTCTCTCCATTGAGCAACGAAAAACAAAATATCGATACTGCGCTAACTCTTAAAGCAGCGAATAGATCCGATATAAAGACATATGGCAAGCGAAAACTAACCTTGAATTTCGGCCGTAATATTTCTCTTCGCTGGGAATTTGTGATCGCTGATGTTTCCGTACCCATAATTGGTATCGATTTCTTAAAGAATTTTGACCTAATAGTGGATTCTCGACGAAACCAACTAGTGAATGGAGAACGCTCAGTAGTCATAAGAGGAGTGACCACTGATCATGTATCTATGAATTTAGTAGTGTCGAAAGATAGGAACGAGCAATATAAGTCACTTCTAAATAAGTTCGCCGACTTAACGAGGTCATCATACGACAACAAAGATCTTAAACATACAGTACAGCACCATATCGTCACGAAAGGTCCACCGACTAGAGTAAGAGCGCGAAGGTTGGACCCAAAAAGGTTAAACATTGCAAAACGAGAATTCGAAAAACTAATGAAACTTGGTATCATAAGGCCATCTAATAGTCCCTGGGCATCTCCGTTACATATGGTTCCCAAAAAGAATGGAGAAATTAGACCATGTGGAGATTATAGAGCCCTTAACAAGCAAACGATAGCAGATAGATACCCAGTGCCACATATTCACGACATCACTACCGAAATGGAAGGTGCTACGATTTTTTCGAAAATTGATCTTGTTCGGGCGTACTACCACATTCCAGTGGCCCCAGAAGACATACCGAAAACGGCCGTAATCACTCCATTTGGTTTATTTGAGTTTTTACGAATGCCATTTGGATTAACTAATGCAGCTCAAACCTTTCAGCGATTTATTGATCAGGTTGTTAGAGGTTTGACAGGGGTATACGCATATATCGACGATATATTAGTAGCTAGCGCTACCGTCGAAGAACATCTACAACATCTACGACAGTTATTCACGAGACTTCAAGAATATGGTGTCACTATTAACGTGGAGAAATGTGAATTTGGAAAGAAATCATTGCAATTCCTAGGTCATATGATAAATTCTCGAGGTATCATGCCAGTTCCAGCGGAAGTTGCTGCTATTCGCAATTATCCGTTGCCCGAGTCACAAAAAAAGTTACGACGATTCCTGGGACTAATAAACTACTATAGGCGATTTATTCCAAACTGCGCAGCAATACTACAGCCATTAACGGACGCTTTGCGAGGAAATACCCGAACATTCCATCTATCGACAGAGGCTATACAGGCTTTTGAGAACGCTAAGCGAGCACTTCATGAGAAAATGATATTAGTTCGACGAAAGAGCGAAGCGCCACTAGCCATCATGACGGACGCATCGAACATAGCAGTAGGAGCTGTACTGCAGCAGTTAGTAAACGGTACATGGGAACCGATTTCATTTTTCTCGAAGAGATTAAACCCTACACAAACGAGGTACAGTACGTTCGGAAGAGAACTATTAGCGATTTACTTGGCAATCAAAC